TTGCAACAGTGTGGTTCAGCACTCAGCTTTATATTGTTACTAATTTTCTGTTCACAGCTTGATGTGTGAAAAGCGAATATTTGAAACTGTGAATAGTGTAAGACATCCCTTCTTGGTGAACCTTTTTGCTTGTTTCCAAACCAAAGATCACGTTTGCTTTGTAATGGAATATGCTGCTGGTGGGGACCTGATGATGCACATTCATACTGATGTCTTCTCTGAACCAAGAGCAGTGTGAGTATCTCTCCCTTTCCGGGGCAGTAAGTGAAGGGCACTTTGTCCAGTGGACAAGAACTGAAGTCTTCACCACCCCAGGCCTCCACATCATGTCACTTCAGTAAATACTGCTTAGGTTTTTCAAAGGGTTGAAGATTCTGACTGATGTTGTTAGAAAAAGACATGCAGGTTTAATGTTCCTGCATCTACATCAAATTCAAAAGTCATATACAGATATTTAATAATTAAAATACTTTAAGATTAAAAAAGCTAAATGAAAAGTTAGAATAGCAGCCATGGCTAAAAAAGGAAAAAGAATAAGCCAGTTTAGAAAACCTTCAGTGCTGTGGCAGTGGACACAGCAGAAAATTTATCCTTCAGGCCAAGCAAACATACTACAGTTTGAAAGTGCAAGTTTAAGCATTTTTGCCATATGGCTTTAAAACTCTGACCTTGTAGAACACTAATCTGTATGTGAAAAACAATTGGTAATCTTCAAAGGATGGCTCAAAAAATCAGTAATAATGGACTTCACATTCTGAAAATACTAAATTCCACTGAAATATTAACTTTTATCTTTTCAACAGATTTTATGCTGCATGTGTGGTTCTTGGACTTCAGTATTTACATGAGCACAAAATCGTGTATAGGTAAGTAGTCACTGGCCCATTTCCAACAGATGAATTTCAGTTGTTCTGAAGAAACATCAAGTGATGCCATTTTGTTCTCTGATGTTCATTTAGAGATTTGAAGTTGGATAACTTATTGCTGGACACAGAAGGCTTTGTGAAAATTGCTGACTTTGGTCTTTGCAAAGAAGGTAATGGTGGTTGCATTTTCTTTGTAGGGGAATTCCATAGTCTGTCTGTCTTGTGACTGTTCCTTGAGAGTTTTGGGCTGCCAGATGTGTATAGTGTGTATTTACCATGTGTCATTTGAAGGAGAAAAACACATCTCTGACTGTACAAATATGGGGACAGGAGGAATTCCTTAGTAGAGAGGTATCAGGAGCACCTGAGCATTGCCCTATTCTTTTTCTTTTTTTTTTTTAATTGTGAGCATTATCTATTCTGATTCTTACCTCATCATAGCTTATTACTAAGGCACACTGCTGCATTTTACAAGTTAGTAGGAAAAGCATTCAGTGGTTTCCCTCATTCTAGACATGTTGACACTGTACTACATATTCAAGTACCATTATAATCCATCCAGAGCTCTTCCTTTTTTACAAATTCATTATCTATGTTTAAGCTCCTAAACAGTTGCGTGGAAATGACATGCCAAGTATACTATAGCTAAAATAGAGACATTATCCCAAAAGGAGAGCCTGGAAAGTTACTTTAAAGCATCTCACTACAGTGTCTTTCTCAAACTCCGTTGAGGGGGGAAAGATCTGGCAAGGTGCATTTCCTTCTCCAGTTTGTGTAGCTACATCTTTTCCTTTCAGATAGCCTAAGAGAGAATTGGGTAAATTTGGGAGGTGTTCAGACATCACTGCTGCCTTCAGTATCCTTGGGCAAGTCCTCTGACTCTAGCTACAAACAAGTTCAGTAAATGACAAAAGGAAACAAGTAGAAAGGAAGCTCTGTGGTTCACTGACTGCTACAATAAGTTTTCACAAGTGTTTTCTGCACCACCTCCCCTTGTAGTGTCACATCAGGGGTACTGATGTCCCCCACTCTTCCCCTCTGGCAAATGCACAAAGCTTATTTTTCTCAAAGTTTCACTACACTCCATGTTTTACTTTACTATACGTAGTTTGCCACTACAGAAGCATCCAGAGCAGCATGTTTGACCAAACCAGTGCACTGTATTTTCTTCTCCTAGCTGTGGTAGCATAAGATATTTTCTATCTTTCTTTCAAGCAAATATGACTGAGTTGACAGTGACTGGAAGCCTAATTTGGCTAATTGCCTGTAGGTAGGGGTAGAAAAACTTGAGAGAAGCACATGTGGAACAAAGGCATGGGAGGGAGGCATAGGGGGAATGTTTTGTCTCTTTGGCCTGAGCCTGAAGGACACAGGCCCTGCATCGGCAGTACCTGCTGAAGTTGCTCTGGAGAGAGGTTCTAGTTACTGGAGGAATAGGTTGTGGAGTGACAGAAAATACTGCTTGCTTTTCATTATCTGTAACTTTTCAGGAATGGGATTTGGAGACAGAACAAGCACATTCTGTGGCACACCAGAATTTTTGGCTCCAGAGGTGCTGACAGAAACTTCCTACACAAGAGCTGTAGACTGGTGGGGTCTCGGTGTACTTATCTATGAGATGCTAGTGGGTGAGGTAAGTCCTAGTAAGGTACAGTGGAGTCACAAAACTGAGAAATGTTTCAAAGGCTGCAAAACCCAAGATATCAGTCTGTCAACATGTAATGTGCCCTCCCTGTCACAGTGCTCACATATACACCATGTACAGGCATACCCAGCTCTACAGGAGCATTTGAATGTGTTTCAACAAGAAAAAGAAGTATTAAATACTGAGCAACTAGTTAGCTGATGGGAGCTGCTGTAACCACTACAGAACTTGTCATGTCATGAGCTTGAATTATCAGCAATTGTAAGTGAACGAGTTGTAGCTGGTCAAAGAATTAACCTCTAGATTTTTATTTTCTGTTATAATTTATGTTGTATATAAAAGATAAATGTATATATAAAATAAAAATATTAATCGTAATTGTGTCCTAAATCAAATCACAGTAATGGCACATTAATATCAGTGTCTCTAAGCAAGAACATAGTACATCTACACATCCAGTTTTGGGGAGCTCAGTTTCCAGCACACATCTGTTATCAAATTTGGATGTGTACAGCAATACCAATCTTCTGCTTTCAAATGCTTTTGGGGAAAAAATAAACTTCATGAGTGGAAGTGAACTTTAACACATAAAACTGTATAGCAGTGAAAGATTATGCCAAATGCAATGAATGGCACATGCACTAAAATAGAAAGCTCCAGTTGCATGTAAATGAGCTGGTCTAAATAAATCAGTATTGAGCAGTTATTTACCCTTGCATATATTGCTTTACCTTCTGGTCCATTTTGTTCCAGTATCTCCTGGGTGGCACAGCTTATGTGCTAAAAACTGGAGAAAACCTCATCATCATTTTGTTCTTTTTCAAAAGAGATGATTATTCAACTTATTTCATTTCCTTTCAGGTAAAAAAAGTAAATAAAAAGCTTGTACATTGTCACCTACGTCTGTCAGGCCACTTCAAAACAGTTTGAAGACCCTTGAGCTGTAACATGCTAAAGACCTTACAAAACCAAATTTGTCTTGACCATGCAACTTGTGAATAGCAGCTGCCCCAAAGAGCTGATATATATGTCCCATGTTCCCATATATCTTGTGTCAAAGTTCAAAAATTCCAGTTTTAGGTGTTTCTGCTTCTAAAAGCACATTTGTAAAGCATAGTGCTTAAGTAAGAATTAAGGGATAATACCAGCTTGCCTTTTCTCTCTTCCTTATGGAAACCTATGTTTCTGGGAAGGAAGACTTCATTTCAGAGTGTCTAATTCCAAACTGTCAGCTGAGTGTATCTTGTTTTCAACTGTAAGTGATTTTTAAGCCTGTTTATAGTGGGTCTTTATTAATTTCATTCTAGTCTCCCTTCCCTGGAGATGATGAAGAAGAGGTGTTTGACAGCATTGTAAATGATGAAGTAAGATACCCACGATTTCTGTCTACAGAAGCCATCTCAATCATGAGACGGGTAAGAACAGCATCATACTAATACTACTGCTGGTCCAGTATCCTCCTCTTGTCCTGTTTCCTCTCCAACATTAAAGAAATTCATTACATTTGTGAGGAACAAAATACTTTAGGAAACTAAGCTTAGTATATATTCTGCACAATTAAATTTCAGACTTGCTTCATTTCTGCTGTGCCATGCTGCCTGTCACCCTAGATGAAAACTGTAGATGCCATTCCAGTTATTCAGGAGCAGTTTTTTCTTTTTGCAACGTAAAACACTCAAGGCTCTATTTTCTCCCTGAACTAACTTTCCTAGTTGTAGCTAGCCAGAGAAGTTCAGCTCTCTTTTCCTAGCAGAACACTGCTGCATTGACCTATTTGGTAGATTAACATTGTCACATGAATATTTTAATTCAAAGACTTCTAAACCTTTTTGGTTTCATTCCAACTGGGGCAGGGAACACTGTACACATGGCATCTGCAGTGCCATTCTTGGCAAAGAACAGCTGATTCTGTTTGATCATTATGAGCACTACACCTAGTGCAATGCCTCTGCTTAGTGAACAAAGATGGTTGGACCTGTCTCAGTTAGGAGCTTATCACAGTTGATAAAAAGGCAACTCCTGGAGGTAGTTCCAAAACCTTTGGAAGCAACTTGTCCATTTAACTGCCTGATACTATCAGTCTAGTACCCACCTCAGCCCTCTGCTGCAGCATAGTGACTACTGTGACATAAGTATTTAATAGCATAAATATTCTGTAGCTTAAAATGGTTACTTACTCCCAAGGGAGAGAGTGTTTGCCTAGAGAAAGGAGGAAGAGTACAGTTTTAAGGCAGCACCTGGGGAAGGTATTTTTACTGTGAAAATTATCATGCCAATGTCCAGAGGGGTCCAGAGTGGCTGTAGCTGTTGGTAGCTTGGCTGCTGGTGGCACTGTGCTGGCAGGCTCAAAGAGCACTGATATATCTCCTCAGCCATCTACAGCTAAAGCTTTGTCTGCCCCTTTTTTTAAGGGCCAAGGATTTCCTGTAGGCCAGGCAGGATGAATTTCACTGTCCACCTAATCCTGGTGTTGGCTCTTCCACAGTAGCACTCATCCTCCCTCATTCCTCCCCCTTGCCCTGAATTTTTGTCCTGACACCTTCCATGTTTTGTCAGCTGCTACGAAGAAATCCAGAGCGGCGTCTTGGAGCTGGAGAGAAAGATGCTGAGGATGTGAAAAAGCATCACTTCTTCAGGGTGAGTACAAACCAATATTATTTCTAAGGACATGAAGGAGTAGAGATGGGAAACTAAACCTCAGTTGGTTTATTTTACAGCTAATAGATTGGAATGCTTTACTGGCCAAGAAAGTGAAGCCTCCTTTTGTACCCACCATTAGAGGACGAGAAGACGTTAGTAATTTTGATGATGAATTTACCTCTGAAGCACCTATCCTCACTCCACCTCGGGAACCAAGGATACTTTCGGAAGAAGAGCAGGAAATGTTCAGAGATTTTGATTACATTGCTGATTGGTGTTAACTTCCAGACACTGTGAACCCCCAGCTGACTGGCTCACAAGAATGCCTCTCTCGGAAGAATACCGACCTTTCAATTGCTCTCTGTGCCACCTGTAGCTTCTGGGTTTTTTTAAATCACATGAAGATCCTTTTAAGTACTGTTTTAACACTCTTGTGAAGAGTGGCCTCTTTGTATATTGTTTTTTATCTGAGCACTGGAAAGCAGGTCTATGGCGTTCATAAGCTGAGTTGGTGAACCCAGGCTGTATTGAGCTTCCCACACACGGGCACACATGGATCTGGACAGTTTCTCTCACTCTTCCACAGCAGATAACATCACTTTTTAAAGTATCTGCCTTAAGTGGGAAAAGCAGACTTGGACCTAGGTCATCTCCACTCAGCCACATTGACATAAGTTTGGGATACTGGTGACACTCACACAGAACATGGTTCTAGTCGGAAAAGGCAAATGATTTCAGTTAAATATTGTGCAGTCTATAAAACTACACATTTCTACGTATACCTTCATCTTGTGTTCTTACAATAATGGGATTGAGAACAGATATGCCTTGTTTTGTAAATTTTCTACGGTATTTATTAGGAAAAACGTTAAATGCCTTGCCTTTGAGATAACAACTGTGTAAGTGCTTCCATTACAAAGAAAGATCCAGAAAAATCCGGGAAGTTTACCAAAGTCACTTGCCAAACAGTTTTGCCTTCAAGCTTCTTAAGCACGGCTTAAGCCCTGGTTGGTATGAGGAATGTAACAAGGATGTTGCTCAGTCTCACCCAGAACGTGAAGCATTCGCGTTGCCCAAGCCCAGACACCTCTGTACTCACTCAGCCTCAGGCCTTTCCCATGCCCCGGGGGCAGAGACCTTACCCAGTCTGTATCTAACCACCTCCCTCATCCTCTGTCTGCTGTACAATACCATATCACTGTTAGGAAACATAAGGATTTTCAATGTATACATGCTGTGAACATGTATATTTGGAAGTTGTAATGTATTCTTACCTCCAGGCAAGTACTTTAATTGTACCACTTCATTAATGTTGCACAGTGGCAAAAAAAAAAAAAAAAATCCTTGTATCCATGTAGGCCACTGATCTCCAGCCCCTGGATTGGCAGTTACTGAGGGTAAAAGCAATATGTTGTAACAGAATGTATAAATATTTTTTATAAGAACAGTGTATATTTTATAAACCCCTTTAACACTAAAAGCTGTACCTCAAAAGTTGAAAAGTAATTTAGACCAAGACACTGTGCACATTTGTAAACCAAGACCTGGTTTTGGCATCTGATGTTCTGTGGGCAAACATTAGTTCTTGGAAAATAAATTTCCCATGTGGTCCTTATCTCTAGCACTGTTCAGCACTGTAACCTCACAGGTTCATCCTGGCCAGGAGTTTGCTGTTCCTGGGCTAAGACAGTGAGAATCAGCACTCAAATGACTCAAACTTGGAATTTTGTTAAGTCTAAGAAGAAACACAAACCACTGGAGTGTGCAATGCTAAGGTGGTGGGTTAAAATCCTGATGCTGGACAGACCTGCAGGGTCAGGCAGGGGAGAGGCTTAGGGAGAAAAATTCAATCAGAGTTACTAGGTGTAAATCAGGCAGGAACGAGGCAGGCACCTTCCTCAGTGCTACAACTCACCCTGGGCAGAGCGTGAGTCAACTCCTCAGCATTCCTTGTTTCCAGGTTTTAATTCATAAGAAACAAATTATGTTCCTGTATCTAGCTGAATACTTTTGAGGTACAGTCAGCTCCTCACCCTTTTTGGTTCCCAAATATATATGTAAGCATCTGACATGGTGCTTAACACTTATGAAAGTATCCTCAAACATACCTTTTTGTAACTACATCTTGTACAGAAATCTTTTTTTAATCTAAGCAAATCACTCAAAAAAAAATTTAAAAAAAATTAGAGGGCAGGGTATGTTCACCCAGTTAAGCTGAAAAAAGCACTAATTTTATCTCTGTAGTTTTTTAAATATTTTTAGGCAGATTAAGATTTTAAACCCTAGATTGTAAATATATTTTGCTATACTTTATCTGTATGTGGCTGCTCAAGCACTTTGTAAGGAAATTAGGATATTTTAGAATGGTACACTATGCATTAAAATGAAATGTGCCTTTAACAAATGTCATTCTAAGTGTTTTGCAGTCATTAATATCACAAATTAAAGTTCTAAATAGAGTAATTTGTAAATTGTGTCTCAAACATGATTTTGCTGTTTCTTGAAGTGGCTGGTCATGTTTTCTCCACAGGTAACTTGCAATCAGGAGGGGACCCAGTCTCGTGGTGGTAGCTCAGAGCACTGCCCTTCTTGTTTTAAAATAAAGAAAAACTTACAACCTCCCTGTGAGCATCCCCTGCTTTCTGAGGCTGAAGGGGAGCAGCCTCCTCTTGCTTGGAGCAGTCCTGCAGGGAGCAGAAGACCATATCTGTTGGAGTCTGGCCTGCTTGAATCAGCATTCTCCTGTCCCAGGCTTCCTCTGAGGGCAGGGGGAGGCAGCTCTTACCCCCCTCGTGGGTACTGCTTCATTATAGTCTCTTTCCTCCCTGCCATTACATAGCAAAGGTCTGTAAACAAACCAAAACCTATACCCACCCCAATGAGCTTGTACTTTCTTTCCTGCATGCATTTAGAACAGAAATCTTACGAGCAAAATGGAATTTCATATGAGGCCACTGCCCAGAGACACTTCACTTCATACCTGCCTAACAATCATTCCAGAAAGGACTGGCTCCAAAGGAACAGAGTTTCAAGTATCTAGTCTAAACTGCAGTTGAATTAATGCAGGCAGTGCCTAAACCTATTACGCCCTTACCCTTGTGTGTGGGGGCTGCAACCCTTCAGCCCTCCTGCCTTCTCCCAGGCTGGCACTGCTGAGCCACCACCACAACCACACACAGCAGCAGAGCCCAAAACCTGCCAGCACCGCCTGCGGCCCAGGCCCTGCCAGCACCTTAGGCTCTGCTCCTGCCCTGCCTGCCCAGCACAAGCAGCACATCAGCTAAAACAGAGCTGCAAGCAGCAGCTTACTCGAGGGGTCATAACTGCCTAAAATTAATTCATAGTTATATCATTTTTTTCCTAGAATGTTTCACATTAACTGCAGTCTACTGGGACCAGTAGTAACTGGTTTTCAGAACACCTCCCCCTTCAAACATATTTTTCATTCTGCCTCTTTGGGCTGCAGTTACTGCCATCTCCACACCACAGGAGAGACAGGAACTGCCTGCAGAACTGCAGGGTCAAGCCAGGATAGCATATCCTGCCTCCATCTGCTGTATTTCACAGCTTTGCACAGATGTATTTAAATTCCAGTCCTGCTGCATGCAACAATTTCAACTGCAAACACTCACCACTCATATGTCAAGTGCTCATGCATAATGCCTGAAAGCATTTAAAATATGAGCATTATGGGAAATATAAGTTTCAGTCACTTTTAACCTTCAATTTATATATTATTATTTGTATATTTAACCCACTGATCTATGCTGGAAATCAGCACTCCAATAAAGTCACTTCCACCCTTGCCCTTCCAAGCTGTAATAGTACACTAAAGGTAGGGCCCTGTCCATTCAAAGCATCTCACCTTCTCCCATGGAGGAGGCAGAGCAGCTCAGACTAGGACAAGCAATGCTCAGGTAATAGAAAATGCTGCAACAAAGTTGAAGGCAATACATGAGACTGGAATATTTGCCCTCCAAACTTCTGAGTATAACACCTCCAGCACCTGCACCTGAATCTTTCTGACAGCCAAGAGCCTCAGTGGTGTAACAGGACTGTACAACCACTGTTATTTGTTTACAGAAAAAAAATGTTAAACTGCCACATTTCAGTAGTCTCAACTGGCAGAAGAGGATTAAAACTAAACCAGCAAGAAAACAGTGATGGCTATTGACAATTAGTGCTGTTAGCACTAGACACACAGCCTTCCCTCTGCACAGCTTAGGACCAGATGTGCAGCAAGCTGACCCCTCAGCTGTTCATCTGGGTGAGTAAACTCAACTCGCACCTGTGATACAAAATGAACTCAGGAACCAGAAGACTCCCAGTTAAGTGCATTTGTTGCTTTGCACACAAAGGAACACTGTCACAACCAGTGCTCAAAGCTCTCAGTCTGGGGAGGGCTGAACAAGTTCTGGCCTTCACTCAGCACCTGGCACATGATTTCAAACAGGCAAGTGCTCACTCAGAACATGACCACAGGCCAGCCAGGCTGTCCAGTGGGCTGGCAGAACATTTTCCACAAACTTACACTAGAAATATCTTTTACCTTCCTTTGTGCAAACATCACAAAGTCACCAGGAATTGAGCTAGAGACCTCATTCTCTTTAGCTATTTTGTCACTACATCAGATTCACAGAAGCAATGCAGAGACAGCAGTGAGCAGCAGGGAGACTGTGCCAAGGATGCAACTAATCCTTTCACAACCAATTTGGAAATCTTCAGCAGCAGTTGAGCAAACCTTCCAACAGCCCTTCAGCAACTGCCCTGCACTCCAGGTGCAATCAGCCATGCTCTACAGATAACTGCAAACACTAGAGCACACCAGAGGTTAGACATTGTCCAGAAAGTGAGCATTTAAGCAGCCTTGTGACCAAGCCCCACCATTCCACCGACTGCATTCCAGTTCTCAGCATGTACAACAGTACGTGCAGTCATACCCACAAGATGGTAAGTGTTTTTGGAAAACAGTTTATTAGGGAATTACACAATATTTTCAATTTTCCAAAATACATCTTACTAGATCCCTACAAAAGAAATCTAAGTACAACAATATGAAATTAAATTTGTTGCGACAGTTATTAAATATTTACTTCCACTAATATATACATACAAAATGCCACACAATGAGCTTGTTTACCCTTGGAATGTGTGCTGTGTTCCAGCAGTTATGCTCCATCTCCACATCCTCCAGTTCCACAACATGAAGACTCAATATTAACACTTTGTACATCCTTTATTATAGGCAAAAATAAAGAGTTTGGTTTTGTTTGTTTGTTTGTTTTTTTAATAGAAATTAACCCTCTGCAATTTCACAGCTGTGGTAGTTTGTCTACTGGGGTATCAAACTTGAAGTCTGCTGGGAAGAGATCTGGAGCTCGGGGGTAGATCAGCCTGTACGACTGTCTGATTGTAACATCAGCCACACCAGCAATGTCACCAATTTCTAAGAGAAAAAGCAGAGAAGTGATTACGTTTCACTTTTGTCATTTGCATTGAAGAAACCAGCAAGCATAAATTATCAAGAAGTGGTAGACACTTGCTTCATTCATAACTCTCCCAAAAGCCTAACAGAAAGGGTTTTAACTGTGGTGACTGATATTTTGCACACATAAGTCTGTCTTCTCATGTACCACAGCTCAACTTACCCTATCAATCTTGGAATAACATCAGTTTCAAGCTGGCAGAGGGCCAAGAGTGCAAAAGTCATTAGAAACATCTACGGCAAATTCTACCTCTGCCCAGCAATATTCTAATAAATCATCAACATCAGGATCTTCATTTCTGTGCTGTGATTAAATATAAGCAAAACAAGC